GTCCCTTCCCAATTCCCTTCCCTGAAACATTCCTTAGTAAATCTTGTACAGTTCCAGAGCTCACCACCTCTTTTTAATAACCAAAATCCCCATATTTTCTCTTGTTCCCTGACCCGTTTCTTATCTGTTACAAAGTCCAGGCTGGCCCTCTCCAGACATATACTTGCAATTTTGTAGTGATCCATCAATTAGTGATTGCAGACTTCTGTCTTCACTGCTTCTGTCAACTCTCATCTATCAGTTTTGTGTCTGTGTGTTTTGTTACTTATGACTTACCTTCAACTGAAATGAGCCTTGATGAATCTTAATGAAACAGATGCTGTTACATTCCACATACTCTTAGATTCATTTTGTTTGGACTTGGCTTTATGAAAGGGTTGGGTACCACCAGGACAGAGAAATGGAATGCAATCAGGCACCTGGCTGAACCAAAATAGAAATAGCAATTTATATGACAAAAGTATTCAATTCTTACAATCACAACATGGTTGAGTTTGGAAGGGACACCTAGAGATCATCTTGTTCAACTCCACTCCTCAAACAGGGTCACCTCAAGCAGATTGCACAGGACACTGTCTAGACAGCTTTTGAATATCTCCAAGGATGAAGACTCCACAATCTCTCTAGGAAACATATTCCACTGCTCAGTCATCCTCACAGTAAAACTTTTTTTTTTTTTTTTTCTAGTCAGATTGAGCTTCTTGCATTTCAGCTTGTGCCCATTGCCTCTTGTCCCATCACTGGACACCGCTGAAAACAGTCTAGCCCCATCCTCTTTGTGTCCTTCCTTCCTTCAGAAACTTACAGGCATTGACTAGCCCCCACTCAGTCTTCTTCAGGCGGAACAGTCCCAGCTCTATCAGCCTTTCCTTATTTGAGAGATGCTTCATGTCTTAGCAGCTCTCTGCTGGACTCGCGCCAGTAACTCCACTTACATTTTGTGCTGTTGAGTCCTGAATGGGACCAATTCCGTAGCAGTTTAGGAAGCTCCTCAACACCATGAAGGTGCTTGTACAGGAAGTTTTTTTTTTTTTTCTTTCCTTCCTCTCATGTGGGTGTCCTCAGGAAACTCAAAATACTTTATTTTTCCTTCACTCACAACATGAATGTAACTTTTTCAGTCATAGAGGGTTGCAGGTTTTTCTTCAAAGAGGGCAACTTATCCAACAGATTATATAAATAAATAAATAAAAAATCAGCCAGAGCATAAACAAGGCTCCACATATAGACTGATTGTTCAGAGAGTCTTCTAGAGCTGATCCATCAACAGTCTTCACAGTTTGCTAATTCTACATTCTTTTTAAACTACATTATCGGCATTCACAGTTGTGAGGAACTCTGCCGCAGGACACAGCTAAGCTTCGAGCTCTTCTGATTCTTGTTTTCCTATCTTCCAGACAGCCACTATCTTCAAAAGGCCTAAGCTACCAGTTCTCCTGTGATGTCAACCCTCACCATCCTTCCTTTGACACTCTCATTCCTCCTTATCCTGCTTCTCCAGTTTTATGTTTTTCTTTTAATCTCAACTTGTAGGCAAGATATCTGATCTTTGTTTGTAGGAGAAACATCTTCCTTTCCACTATCCTGCCTTAAATTCCTTTGTTTTACTTGACTCTTGTTTCAGGACAAGAGCCAGGTACCGTCTCTGCTCCTGGTGTCTGGGTTTCTTGTTTAAAGTCATCACTTATGTTAATCCATGACCCTTTTTGTACAACTTGTTTTATCTTCGGCAGAAGTGTGCAACTCTCCTCAGAATACAACAGGAAAAGAAAAGTTGCAACGCTGACCACTACATGAACTACAAACTCCATGTTCTCCTTTTCTGGTAGGATATATTGCAGATTTAAGTTTGTTTTTTAAACCCAAAGGCCTGTGTTACACAGTAATAGAATGTTTATTTGTGAGCCAAAATAGACTTGTAGGTCCAACAGGCGACAGTTGTTTTGCAGCTTCAAGGACTAGTATTGTGTTCAGAAGCCTATAAGGAGTTGGCTGAAGAGGAGGATGGAATGGGAGTAGTGGTTGACAGAGACTTCATTTAAATTTAATGTGGAAGGATAGAGTTAAGGACTACTCTATGTCCAAGTTTTCTCAAAACAAGGAACTGCATTTGATTTTGCATTATGGTGTTATTGCTCTATGCATGCCTCTGTGACAGACTACTGAGAAACAACAAGCAGTGCAAGCTCTAATAATGTATTTATTTTTGGCAGACTGTATTCAGCAGTCAGTTAGATAGCAGGTTACACAGCAGTAGGTGATAATCAGACAGTTATGGGGAAAAAATCCGTTTTCAAATAACAACCGCAAGAACATTGACAGCATAGATGCTAAGTCATTCTTGATGTACTTTATTACTCAAACACTGTCTTCAAGCTTTGCCTACAGAAGGCCATGCAATTTTATTCTTATAAAAAATGTATATTTAACGCCAGCCTAGATAGCCAGAACAACATTAGTCCTTACTTCCTCCATCCAGAACTGCTTACTGAATTATCCTACTTTTGTTCAGAGCTGAGATGCTGGATCACACTTACTATTTTATTTCAGTGCAGAACTATTGTACCAGCTTGGTTAAAATTAGTCACTGGCTTCTTTCCTTCTATATTCTCAGTATAAACAAGGGAAATAGGATTCCTTTTTTTTTTTCTCTCTCTCCTCTCTCAGGGTTACCACAACTGCCAGTAGTTGGTAAAACAAGATACCAGGGCCTCTTTGCTTCAAGTTTTATCTAGATGTTCTATGCTACAATGTTCATGGATAGTAAGCAGTAGATATAATGAAGTCCTGTACATATTACTAGTTTATATAGCCACTCTTAGTATCACAGTCTTTGCAGCTGTCTCCGGCCCCTCACACTTTGACTGCTTTCTTCTTTGCCTTAACAACACGTTATCACCATACCTAACAACTTAATAGCATTATACCCATAGCCTACCTAACCCTCTCAATGATCTTGAGGTAGATGCTATTAGTCCCATTTTACAGACAGGGAAATGGAGGCAGTGGCATTAATGACTTGTCATAACTAATTAAGTTGCCAGAATTCAAATGGAGAGCTTCGGTTTCAATTGTGTAGTGTTTGTGGTTTGGCTGCATCTAAGGTACCAAATCATAGCTCCAGAAGAGCCAGAAGTGTTCTTTATTACTACAGAACAACACCAGATATGCCACCAGCAGTTTAGCGTTAACACCAAGAAATAGAAGAGATAAAACACAGAAAAAAAAGAAAAAAGTGTGATAGAGAATAAGACAAAAAGCCAACCAGTGATCAATTATGTTTAATTCTAGGAAAGCCAAAGAGAAAAAGACACTCTTCAGACCAGAAAGTATTTGGAAAAAAAAAAAAGCGGGGGGTAAGACTTTATTTGCAAATGCTTTAAGCTGACATTATGCTTGTATTTCAGATTTCACAAAGAAATACTTTATAAAACTAAAACCAGCTATCCCAGCCACTATCCACAGAGGGTGGTGTAAGCAAAAGACATCAAGTCAGAACCTGCAGTGAAGAACCACTCACTCCTGACACTGAACTGCTCCAGTAGTGACAGGATGCTTCACGCTTCACTGGGAGATGAAGACAAATAGAACTGGGATTTTTAACAGTTCTGAGAGGCACAACAACTCCTTCTGTTTGGTGCTCTGCTGCTACCCAGATCTCCTCTGTATCATAAGTGTAGCAAGGATTTACTGATTCCCCAAAAGACAGATTCAGCATAGCAAAGGCAAGAATTTAATTGAAGTGTATGCAAGTTTCCTTTAAAAATGTACTTTATCTTAAAATTATACCATTAAACTGATTACTTAGCTAAATTATGAGGGATTTCCAGTCTCACTGCTGAGAAGAAAACTAGAGCCCAAGGCTGAAGCAAGCCCTGTCCTGAGTGAGTCATACAGGGGCTTTGGGTAGATGTTCATACATTTGCCTGAACTTTGGTTATGGGAAGGCAGGGGTAGGAAGATACGTATGCTCATCAGTGAAGGACTCTGTTTTTCCCATTCCTAATGTTTGGTTGGGTAGGCAGAGTAGATGTGGGCTGGAATAAAAGGTGAAGCAATGGTTTTAATGCTTTATGAAGATTCTGGCATGGCAGAGCACAGAACCTTGCACAAATATATGCTAAGTAATGCCTGAGGACAGTTTTGCCTGTATTTTTATTAGCCAAGTTAAGGCTCCTCAATACAGTGAAATCTGTCCACCTATCCCTTCCTTTTTCCTTCTCTCTCTCAAAAAAAGGGGGTGATGGTAGGAAGCCTCTTTCTGCCTTGTTTTTTTTTTTTTCTTTTTTTTTTTCCCCTCCTTTTTATCTTCTCTGAATAGGGTGGGAAAAGACTGTTCCAAAGATGCACTTTGGTTTAACAAATAGGCAACTTCCCCTTGTAAGAATAAATCTCCCCCTCTGAAAAGGAATGTTTCTTTTCTCCTAGAACCCACGATAAATTAAAACTGAGAAAGAAGTTTGACACAATAAATACTTAGAATATTTCAAATTAAAAAAATATAGTTACAAAAGCCTCAATGAAATTCTCTTTCTGAACTAACTACAGACAGATTCTTCACAGACAACAGGTATCTCCAAAATCAGCTGTAGCTCCTCTCCCTGCTCACTGGGCTTGGTTAACAAGTGCTATCACTTACCCTTTGGAATACTGTTAAGACAAAACAATATAGAGCACAAAAAATCTACTCCTAAGTTTGTTTATCAAACTGTCAAGGGTATAGGAAGCTGCCATCAGTGCGGAACCAATGTAGCAGTGCACAGTGACAGAGTCACAGCACTGGGGTAACACAGGGAGACTAAGGGAAAATAAGGGATAATAAAGCATAGTAAGAAAAGGAGAAGAGAGAACCCATGAAAAGTTGGGAAAGGGAAAAACGGTTGAGAGAGAGAGAGAGATGGACTTCCCAGTTCTGGCAGCAGAGCAGATGAGATGCTGAACAACAGGAAGAGTTCCTTGGGGTCTGTCATAGCAAGGAATGTTGTTGGCATTTTCTTCGCCACTGAGAGTAAGTGAACAGACGCAATTAACCCTCTCTGACACAGACTCGTGGCTCTGCCAGCGAGCTGTGGATAATGCCAATAATTGATTCAACACCATCTCCTTCCAACAAGGTGCGGTGATCCCCTTCAATGACATGGACAGACACTTTGCCATCGCATACCTGTACAGAGGCAGAATAGAAAGGTTTATGTTCACGTGCACTGCAAAAGCTGTAGGGGTCTACAGGCACAAAAAGAAATTTAAATTTATCTCTGGCTTTGCTCCTATTTTTTAACCTTTTTGTTATATGGAGTATAATTGAGGAGCTGCAAGAACTCGCAATGGAAAAAGAGTTATTTGTCCAAATATTGAGGTTAGAGTTTCTCTTGGCCTTTACTACCTTGATAAAATGCCTGGAATCGAATGAGTTCATTTGCTTTTCATAACTATTCTTTTTTTTTTTTTAGTAGAGCACAAGGACTTTTTTTTTCATCCTTCAGATGAGATTTCATTCCTTCTCCCTTGGTAAGAAGCATTTTCAGTGCTTTTATTTTGTTCCCAAAACTATCAGAGAGTCTCAAGTGTCACCAGTATGCCTTAGACTAACCTCTGAGAGTCTGTAGTCTCCACCCAAGCCTTCTTCATATTCATTGTGAGTCTTTGCCCGCATCAGTGTCACGTTCCCATGATACTTGGACTCTGGTATATACTTGTCAGCAGCCTTCAGTTTGTGGTAAAAGGAAGCAGCAGCAAAGCTGAGTGCCTCACGATTGATGTTTTTGTAGATCTGAGTTATCAGGTCTGCAGCAGCATTGACACGGGCCTCCAGGTCTTTTAGAGGCAGAAGAATCTCCAACAGCTGGAAATATGATGATTTTTTTCCATAATTTTCAACAATTTTCAACATCTGAGTATCTAGCTACATTAAAAAAACACAAAATAGCCCCCCAAACCACCAGCACACTAAAACATCACACACGAAAAGAAGAAAAACAAAACTCCCTCTTCTTTGCACTATAAGAAATAAACCTTACCTTATTGTATTCAATGCCTGTAAACTGCTGAACAAAGGCACACAATGCTTCAGTTTCCAGTGCAGCCTCATTTCCTTGAGTCAGTTTGGCTCTGTAACTCTGGAAAACAGAAGAGTGAAATAGTATAACAAGAGATATGCTTGTTCTCAAATGTTAGATTTGCAAAAAGAAAAAAAAAAAAAACATATTCAAAATATAGGGCTCCGAAACTGGGGGTAACAAACTTGGGTATTAGTGGGAGAAGATAACCTAAGGACAGAGATTAGAACATTAATCCATGGGTGATAATTTCCAGGAGCCTAGGATCCTCTAGAAACCACTACAATAATGAAAAAAAAAAGGCTAAAGCAAGGTTTCCTAGAACCCCACGTTAGAATGCCATCTTGCAGGCTCTAGGATCTTACATGAGACATATACTAATATTACAGTTTACATGACAAGAACAGCATTTGTGCCTCAGTCAGTTAATGAAGCCTTTGCATCCCCACCCTCCAGTAATCCTTAAGTGTCCATTATGTACTATTTGCAGCTCTTTCCCACCTCCCCCATTATGAAAGTTGTCAGTTTTTCAGATGCCTCTCATACAGAATAATAAACTCCCAAAGCATGAGCTCTGTTGAGACAGGATGGTCTCCAGACGGAAAATTTTCCTAGCATCTCTTACTTGAGTATATGCTGCCACAAACGAATGGGACCCATCGAAAAGGAATAGACTGTTGAGTGCATGGGAAGCATTTTGTTGTGCTTGTAGTTGTGAGCACATTTCAAAGGCTACACAGGCACCGAAAGAATATCCAGCAATACGGTAAGGTCCTTCAGGCTGTATCTGCTTCATACAGTCAATGTAATAGGCTGCCAGGCTCTGTATGCTGTCCAGGGGAGCAGCTAGAACACAAGAGAAAACATGGAGTTAGTAATAGGTTCCATTCACACAGTGGGAGAGACAATTATGCTTTCAGGAGCACTAGAAGAAACCTATTAGATACATTCAGGTTACTTTGAAGGTAAATTTCTAAATAGATTAATACACAATTATTGTTAGCTTGGGTTTAGTCTAATTCTGTACAAGTGATAGTAATGCTCCAGTGTTTCTAAAGAACACCATGCCTTGTTTTTCACCCATGTGATTATCTGCTGGCAAGGACAGATGCAGCTGTTCCATTTGCCCATATACACACATCTTCAATATAACTTAGTACACAGCCTTATGTGAACTGTGGCTACGATGTTTGATCCTCCAAGTTTCGAGTCTAGAGCAAAGCTTCCTCTACAGGGACACTAAAATTTAGAATATTAAGTTTACAAATTCAATATGTACAAGAACTTGGGTACCTTTTGTGCACTGCAGCCCGTAGCATGGCATATGAAGTCTGGAGGCAAGAGTGTGGAAGACTGCAGTAGATCCTTCAATGGGGTGAACAAGGAAAAGAGGGCGCTCCGTGCTCTGAACGTCGTTGAGACGGGTGATTGTTGGATCTTCTGGATTCACCAACAAGTTGTTCAAATCTAGTTTTGGAGGCTCACCCGGGCCAGTCTTCGTAAGCTGTGATGGTTTCATCTCTTCAAAGGGAAGTATGCCAGACAAACCCAGTTAGATTCAGGACCAGATTCTTGGTCATAAGAGAATATGGTCATATGGTCAAACATAGCCCTAAAAGAAATGCTAAGAGCTGTACTGGATTAGCCCCCTGGCTTGCTAAATCAATATGGTGTGGAGAGACCTCCCCACTGTTCATTAGCAGCTGTAGGTGCTTTTACCTAGCAGTAAGCAGGATATTAAGTTGCTTATTCCTCAGAGAGATAAAAGGTCTCAGACTACATCCTGCACAGTACCATATAAAAGCACTCATGCAAGCAGTTACTACAGAGCAGCTGATTGACAGTACCTTGCTTATGGATCCATGGCATAATACTATGGGGAATTCAAGCCATTTAGAAATCTAGAGAGACTATTTTTGTCAGGCTCTTAAGGAGGACTGGCACACAGGAAATACTTTTCACTCTGAGCCTTGGCTAAGGATTTTTGTATTGACTTGGTCTTGCCCTTACTATTTTCTTATTCATCCTAATAGCATGGCTACTGTATGACTTGATTATATCTGTATTACTGATACTACATTGGCAGCAGAGCAGCTTGAGAGACCCTTCTCATATCCTTACCTGAAATGGAAAAATGATAGTTCTAACCAAACTGTCAGTGCAGTAGTGCACCTCAGCACATGTCTCATTTAAAACCCTTTCAGCTATTATCAGATCTTACTTCACCATACGATAGAGGCTTATGTCTCTAGAAGTGAAAATGGTGGGTTGGGAGCTGAGTTGTTTGGGTTCGGGCGATTAGGGTGGAACCGGAATCCAGATGCCATACCCTCTGCCGTCCCAGACTTGGAGGAAAGTTCACGCAGTTTGTTGATTGTAAGCAGTCGAATTTCTCTCATGGTCATAACGATGTCGTAGTCCCTCTCCAGTGTCTGGCGCACCTCCACACCCATCAACGAATCCAAGCCCAAGTCTGCCAAGGAGCTCTCAGCATTCAGACTACTTACATCACGGACACCTGAGGAAAAGCAGTACGCATATAAAGAAAAAATAAAAGGCCTTTTTGAACGAGGGCACACTGCTGCCTCATGGTCAACTTGTCGTCCACCATGATGCCCAGGTCTCTCTCTGCAGAGCTGCTCCCCAGAAGGTCGTCTCCCAGCCTGTACTGGTGTCTGGGGTTATTCCTCCCCAGGTGCAGGACCTTGCACTTGTCTTTGTTGAATTTCATAAGATTTCTCACTACCCAGTTATCCAGTCTGTCCAGGTCCCTCTGGATGGCAGCGCGGCCCTCTGGCCTATCAGATACTCCTCCCAGTTTGGTATCATCAGCAAACTTGCTGAGGCAGCACCCCATCCCTTCATCCAGGTCATTGATGAATAAATGGATTTCTCAGCCTCCCTTGTATTAAATATTTCAGACAACAGAATCGCAGAATTGCAGAATGGTTAAGGTTGGAAGGGACCTCTGCAGGTCACCCTGTCCAAGTCCCCTCCTCAAATAGAGTCACCTGGAACAAGTTGCCCAGGGCCCTCTCCAGAAGGCTTTGAGCTATTTCACAACCTCTCTGGGTAACCTGCTCCAGTGCATCCTGTCCCTTCACTCAGATCACTAACGAAAAAATTGAATAGTGGACCCAGTATTCACCCCTGGGAGATACTGCTAGCTACAGGCCTCTAGCTGGACTTTGTGCCACTGACCACAACCCTCTGAGCTCTGCTCTTCAGCTGTTTCTCAGTCCCTCTCACTGCTCATCTTGCCTGTACATCATCAGCTTGCTCATGAGGATGCTATGGGAGACAGTAGCAAAAGCCTTCCTGAGTCAAGGGAGACAACAGCCATTGCTCTTCCCTCATCTACCCAGCCAGCTGGTCCAACAGAGAGGGCTATCAGGTTGATCAAGGGTTATTTCCCCCTTTTGAACTGATGATGATTACTCTCGATCACCCTCTTATCCTTCACATGCTTGGAAATAACCACTACAGGTTACTAAGAAGACAAAAGCCCTGTTTGTGGCATGGGGAAATTCCCAAACTACACATTGAATGCTGGAATAGTACTCAGCAAGTTAAACATATTTGCCCTATTATATGCTACCCTAGTATTTTGCTCTTGTGGACTGCTGTTCCTATGGATTCTCCATTTGGAAAGAGGTACCAACCCACTCCTAAAAAATTTCAGAGGCTGAGGAAGACATATGCATGCTTGTGCATTTAGACATGCTAAAGGAGAAAAGCTCACATATTTAAGGAACAAATGAATTTTGGGGGACAGTGAAAAAGAAGCAGCAGAAAAAGGAAGAGACAGGAGAAAAAAAAAAGCAGCAGGGACAAATCAGAGCGAAATGCAGAGTGCCTACAGCAGCTTCACTGCTTTCCAAAAGCATTGAGGTGATAGTCTGTGCAGTGATGCTTGGCTATAAGACCTGGCAGCTTCTGGCTGCATGCCATCTTGTTCTGCCTAGCGGTTTGGCAGAAGGAAGGAATGGGCTTTTTGTCACTGTTGAACACATGATCTTTGATATAACCCTATGAAGCTGTTTCCAGGTTCTCATGGATGTTGCTAAGGAGATAACCATACCAGCAATATCCCTATGACTGCTTAAACAAAGGATGCTTTTGGAAGCAATCAGAGGTGAAACACTGTACATCTGTCCTCACTTTCCTCCAAACAGCTGTTGAGAGCATTATCCCCTACAAAAAAAAAAATCCTGGAGCAAGACAACTTCTATAAATCAGTGTCAATTATGCAGTTACTAGACTGCACCTACCCAGAATGTGAGCAACAGCTTCCACAAGATCCCGCTGACTGCTTCCTTCACTTTTCACAGATACCTTCTCTGCTAGGACAAAACTGGACATGACAGGATGAGGTTGATTCAGGAAGATATCAAGCACCTCCAGGCATGAGCTGATCTGCTGGGGAATGGTTCCCCCAACCACAACCTCTTTGTTTCCCAGTGTCTTCAGAAGGATACCCACATCACCAATGGCTCCCCATTGGATAGCCAGACCTGGAGGAAAAAGCAGAGGAAAGAACACATAAAACTTTTAACTAACTTTAAGTTAGTTAACTAAAGCACTTGGCAGCAACAAGTAGTTGAAAACGCTTAGGTGAATGGAAGTGAATGGCATCTCCTTCGTACTATTAAATAGTACGCATTCATACATGAATGCCTAGAACAGCTAGAAGAGGAGACACGTTTCACCTAATGATCATACCAGACAAGTCTGCAGGTTTTGGGGGAACTGGTTCTCTTCTGAATGTTCTAAAGGATGTATTTTTCCAATAGATGAGTAAAAGTTATCATACCTGGAAGTCCATCATGGTGTCGCTGCTCACAGATACGTTCCATGGTAGAATTGGCAAAGCCATAATTACTTTGCCCAGCATTTCCTCTTCCACAGCTTACAGAAGAGAATGCAACAAAATAGTCCAGGTCTGGGCACTTCTTACGAGTCACGCTTGGTAGGAAATACGGAGAGAAACACATTAAAAAACCCTGCAATTATATGTTGCCACAGAAGGACAGGGCAAGATTAAAACAACTAAGCTGAATTGATCTCTGTCATCATATGCGCAATTCGTATCTGTCCCTCTACAGAAACTTACCAATCCAAATGAAGGGTGCCTGAATACTTGGGTTTGTTGACTTCCCAGAAGAATTCTGGGGTCTGATTTTCAATCATGCCATCTCTAAGGACCTATTAGAGACAAAATAAGAATTTTCAGTACCTCCACTCTCTGTTTAAAGTTGCTACATGTTTTGACATGTGACAGAATATCACCATAGAACACCTTTTTGCTAAGTCTCTAGCATAGACATAACCTGAAATACAAAATAATCTTTGTTAAGTCTGTTTCTTTTCAGTGCTGACCTAGCAAATTCTGTGTGGGATTTTTCTTGTCCCCAGGGCTAATGGGAAATATTCATCTTATCCTAGAACTGAGCTGGATGACCAAATACTATTGCTTCTCAGGTCAAGACCTAAGTCTGCAGGTTACCAGGTAAGATCAGAACCAAGTGCCTTTTAAAACAGTCTGAAACTGTTTGAATCCCAACTGGTGCCTATCTTCCTATAAAAATACCATTTAAATGGCTGCTCTCTCTTATACGAGTCCTGACCACTTTTAGCACTCACCACGGCCAAATTAAAGATGCCTCCAACTGGTCCAAGCTGCAAAGCTTCTTCTATCAACAGCTGTGTTCCTTCAAGAGTTGCAATATCATGAGTGGATACCAATACCTGTATTCCCATTGATTTCCATTCTCTAACTCGCTTAGCCTGATAACCTGCAAAAATAAGGTGAACAATGCATGGGATGAAGCACTCAAACCACCATGAACTAGATCATCTATTTCCTGCACTTCTCTGTTTAGATAGGGATCGAACAGATAAATAATTCCTAATTCAGCTAAACAGAAACTTAAAAACATGACAGCAAATATAAAGTCAGTCTAACACAGAGACAAGAAGAAAAGTGGATAGAATGCAGGTAGAGGATATAAATCATTTGCATTTCCTAAGTATTTTGAGTAGACCACAAAGTGGGAGAGGAGCATTGGTAAAACAGAAGAGTAGGCATGCAGCAGTGAAGGGAAATTAACTTAATTTGGGTCCTGAGATAGGAAAGAATGGTTAATTTGGAAGTAAGGAATCGAGTTATAGTAGCACAACCAAAACGGGAGAAGACAGAACAAAAGTATTTGCCCTCCATACGTTTGCAGAAGGGCTGTAATTGTGAACTCATCAATGGAAAGAAGTAGTCTGCAAAATCACAGTAGTTTTGTTATGGTCAAGTTTGAGAGAGCAAGCACTAATAAGAAATCTCAATACTTGCAATGAAACTGATGTCTCAAACCTGAGTAGAAAAACTGACTGATGTTATCTGATACCAGACTGCACCTTTTACAGATGAGCTGTCTATGTGAAGGGTCAAAGAAAATATCCATAGGAGGAACTTGAGGAACAAAAATGGGTCATCCATAGCAAGAAATTTACAAGCCTTTGTTTATGGCATTTGATGAGCTATTGGATGAATCTGTGAGGTAGCTGGGTACAGACTTTGAGAGGAAATTAAAAAAAAAAAGTAAGACCTTAAAAAAATCTTGGGATGTGCCTGTGGGATGAGGGGCAGGAAGGCGGGGAAAAAAAAAAGAGGGGGGGGAGGGAGAGAGAGCATAGGTGCACAAAATGAAGAAGCATAAAATGAGAAGAAGCTGCCAGAAAGAGAGGCCTTCTCAAAAAATAGTTTCTTCTTTAGAAAAAAAGAGGATAGCAACTTCTTTGAAGTGAGAAGATGGATTCATGTAGAGAGAAGGAACAAGGAATATGATGACATTCATATTTGCTGACAGAAACTTCAAGGGAGAGATTGAAGAGAGATCAGGGTCAGTTGAAAGACAGTCAACTGGTCTTTACTTACCAGTTCGTATGCCAGAACGAGATGTCAGTATAAGCTTCTGTGCTCCTCTCTCAATTAGCCACTGTGCCAATTCAAGCCCAAATCCTCCTAGCCCCCCTGTGATTATGTAAGACTTGGTAGACGGACAGGAAGTTCGAGAAATGGCAGAAAATTTGACTGGTTCAGACTTTCTTAAAGGATATTCCTTCTCTTCTTCTTTGACCTTCCAATAAAACAATAACGAGATGTGATGAAATACACAACACATTGTCTGTCTTTCCACATAGAACTACACTCCTCTAGCCGGTGGGGGCCAGATTTCTAGATCAGAGTGACGGACCTTAGCTACATGTGTTACAGTGTCAGCAAAAAGAAATAGAACTCTAGATGTGTTGTCCTAGTTAGGGGACTATAACCTGGCTACACTGACTATTTCAATCCAATTCGTCTACACAGGATTACAGATGAAGCACAGAATCAAAATTTCATTACCTTGATCATAACTTTGCCAATGTGTTTTCCCTGTGCCATGAACCTGAAGGCAGCTTCTACCTCTTCTTTGTTGAAGACTGTAGTCCTCAGGGGCTTTACCACACCGTCTTTTATACCCTTCTTCAACAACTCTGATACTACCTCCCACTCTTGGTTTCCCTCCTCAAAGATTGCATCTAGTAGTATCCCATGAAACGCCACGTTCTTGAGGAAGAGCGCCATTCCTAGAAAAAGCAATTTGGTTAAAAGCTCATGCACTGCCATTTCAAAAACAGTCATAAGGTACTAGATTTCTATGTTTTCCAGACTCACACATATGTACCTATTCCATAAAGGCTATATTAATTATTTTAATTACTTACATAACAATTTAACAGACATTCTGCTCACGTATGTAATAGATACAAGACATTGACCTAAGTTCAACAAGATAAGCAATAAAACAGTCAGTCCAATACTAGAAGAGAACACTGTGCGTGTGGAGACAGCTGAGTGAGAGGTCAGAGAGAAGCTAAAATTCTATGTGCATCCCCCCATCCATTTCCACAGGTGATTCTCCCCTGTGAAAGCTTTCTGGAACACCAGGATCTTTTGAAATTTAACTGGAGTACAGATAAAACATGCAAACATTATTGTCACTTTTCATTACCCTATTGCATTGCAATATTGGAATTTGTCCCTCCTGCCAGGAAGAGGCAAATTAATCTTGTCCCTCCATCATCAAAATGCCACAGAAATTTAGTGGATTAGCACATTAAGGTTCCCTTGGATCAGGTTCTTTGCTATTAGCTGAAAAGCTCCAGTTATTCTCAGTTTATAAATGATTAAGTTTAACCAAAACTGAGGGTCAAGACCTCATATAGCTATGAACTTCATTTCCTAGTTTTACAGTACAATAATACATTATAAATGGGCCTGTTACTTCCCCAAAAGCTTATAATCTACCTTCTAGTCAGACAAACACTTCATAAGCATTATGTGCTATGCTGATTTTAAGGAAAGGCTTTAACAAAGATCTCATTTTTTTTATGTGTAATGACAGTTGTTCAGAAAATATAGAGTGTCAAGAGATGTTTCCTTATGCCCTTTCTTACCGAGCTGACTGTTGTTAGACAGATCAAATTTGCCTATTTCCAAAAAGCGACCATGTCGAGCAAGACAACGCAAACTGGCTTGAAGCTTCTCTTCTGCCAAGGAATTCAGCACAAGGTTAACACCTGCAAAGAAAAGAGAAGTAAAATTAACTCAATTTGCTAAATGTTTAACCCTGTTGTCTACTGACTCATTTTGTCTTTGGAAAAATGCAACTGTGCAATGTAATGGCTGGCAAAAGTCAGAAGCAAAAATGTACCCTGAACTTACCTTTTCCATTGGTAACTCGCAGTATGTGTTGCTCAAAGGTAGTATTTCGGGAGCTAGAAAAGCTATTAGCATCCAGCTGTGGGAATCTTGCTTGGAGATATTCACGTTTCTCAGCAGAGCCTGGGAGTAAAAGACAGGCTTTGTCTTCAATGATGACAGTATTTTTTGTTCCTTTTTACTAATACATCACATTTTCATCTTTGAGGACTTGGGAAAGATGTGGTGTCTGAGAAACCACAAAGCAGTGGCTTCAAAGCTCTCAGATCTTTGTCCTAAGGCATGAAATCTTAGGATAAAGGCTGTTCTAACAGTTACTGCTTGCTTAAGTGAGACAGCAAAGACCAGAGACAAATGAAACCTTACAACGGATAGATGTGCTTTCATCACATAAGCCAATTTAACAAGAGGCAGTCTTGATTTTCTCTCATACTTCGGAATAACATACAGAAGATAGATGTTTGTCAGTAGTTTAAGTAAGCAGCAGCTGTATTTGTCATATATCTTGTTGCTGTCCAACTAGAAACTAGATCAAGGTTATAGGAAATCATACTGGTGAAAAATTATATACCCAGATTTTCCATAAAACAGGACCTTGGCACTCACCCACAGTAGCAAAGACACGGCAGCCCATGCTCAGGGCAATGGCAATAGCTGCTTGGCCCACACCTCCTGAACCAGAGTGAATGAGGACACTCTCACCCTTCTTCATACCACCTCGAACCACCAAAGCATAATAAGCAGTGGCATAAACCACAGGTACTGAAGCTGCTTCTTCTAGAGTCCTAAGAGAAGTGAAAAGAATAAAGGCTACTAGATTCTTCTGATAAAGTTTGCTTTTCTGCCCTGGAAAGGTGAAACTGCTGAGATGGACCAAAAAGTATAAACAGTTTTGAATTAGAAAACAAACTATCACAGCTGCTGATCATGGCCAAGAACTTAATCCTTCTGCATAAATGTTTCAGCAGCTACTCAATAACATAGTAAATATGAAAATTCCTGCCCATACTGAAAAACGTGGGACAAACAGCCCAAAAGAGACACTGCACAGAAAAGTGCTTAAATTACGCAGTGAGTCAGATTACTAAGCAAAATCCTACAGCTCCACTATGGAGCAGACTTCCCCACAAGCGAGGCTAGCTACTACAGGGATTTGTCAGATGACAGATCACTTCCCCTACTCTCACAGTGGTGGCTAATAATTCTGCTGCAGGTTGCTTTCTGTTGGATCTTTACTAAACCATGAGGGTCAGTGTAAATGATGACTATTGATGGTTTTCCTGTAGATTCCACAGAGGAAGCATGGTGTTGCCAAAGCAGTGACAGAATGAGGAAAGAATCCTCATCAGAATATAGGTCTATCACTATTCCCCGCAGTGAAACATATAAAGTATGCGTTCCTCCACTCGGAGGAGGGCTGTCACCAGCTTCAAGAAGCAAGACAAATTCTATGTGCATAAAACAAAAGAGAAAACAGCAGTTGACCTACCAATTTTGGGGTACCTCCCATAGAAACCTGTTGTCACAATCTACCACTGAAACAGGACCTTGGCACTCACCCACAGTAGCAAAGACACGGCAGCCCATGCTCAGGGCAATGGCAATAGCTGCTTGGCCCACACCTCCTGAACCAGAGTGAATGAGGATGCTCTCACCCTTCTTCATACCACCTCGAACCACCAAAGCATAATAAGCAGTGGCATAAACCACAGGTACTGAAGCTGCTTCTTCTAGAGTCCTAAGAGAAGTGAAAAGAAGAAAGGCTACTAGATTCTTCTGATAAAGTTTGCTTTTCTGCCCTGGAAAGGTGAAACTGCTGAGATGGACCAAAAAGTATGAACAGTTTTGAATGAGAAAACAAACTATCACAGCTGCTGATCATAGCCAAGAACTTAATCCTTCTGCATAAATGTTTCAGCAGCTACTCAATAACATAGTAAATATGAAAATTCCTGCCCACACTGAAAAATGTGGGACAAACAGCTCAAAAGAGACACTGCACAGAAAAGTGCTTAAATTATGCAGTGAGTCAGATTACTAAGCAAAAAAATATATAAAGTATGCGTTCCTCCACTTGGAGGAGGGCTGTCACCAGCCTCAAGAAGCAAGACAAATTCTATGTGCATAAAACAAAATAGAAAACAGCAGTTGACCTACCAATTTTGGGGTACCTCCCATAGAAACCTGTTGTCACAATCTACCACTGTGGCCAGTCCCTTTGCTGGCAGCAATCCCATCACCCTTTTCCCAGCCAGGTCCCGTCCTGAGAACTCCATGCCCAACATGCACTGCTGCAAAGTCCAGTTACCTAGGAGAAGATAAAAAACTTTGTAAAGTGAACGTGCAAAACTCCTTGGCCAAAAATTTACTAGAACAGAGGGCTCTGAAAGTTGTAACCCTAGAAAAAGAAAAATGCTGGAATTTGTCTACTACTTTAAAAGTTCATAAACCACAACAGTTAACTTCTTGTTCTTTAGGAATAAGAACAGCCGAGGATCCAGTTTTATAAGATCTTACTTTTCATCTGTGGTAATATTTCTTTAGTTTCTAGCTTTTTTCTGAGAAATTTAATGGAAATATCCAGCTTCAAAGGTTTTAACTTTTGCTCATCTTTGAAAAAGTGTTATATGTAAATGAGAAAGGATGATCACAGAGAAAATGTGTGCTTACAGAAATGAACACTTCACACAAAATTATGCTAGGCAAAAAGTAATCTCAGTTATGGGGGGATACCCTGTTTTATGGGTGGCCTGACTGGGAATGGGTATCCAAACACTTAAAATAAAATAAATAAATAAATAAATAAAAAAGCATAATCCTATAATCCTCAGATCCCTATGAACTGAGATGAATTGACCTCCATTTCACAGTTAGGAAATAACTTAATTTTGCATTTTTCCTCTCCTTAGAAGCAGAGCAGGTCCAGTATTATGATAACAATAAAAAATAACATTCTCACCTCAGTACATACCCTGCCTATCTCTGGAACCTCCAGCAAGTTGTTTCACCATAACCTCACACACTATTGATGCAGTAGGGCTAATGTTTCCTCACAGTAGGTTTTAGTACTGCCATATGAAAGGTCATATGGAGTGGTAAATTGAAGCAGAACTTTGGAGTTTTTGGTGCACAGTTCTGCAGCAGACTATACTTTTCAGAAATACGTTTTCGTGCCAAGGAAAAAGTGATATATACCCAAGCCAGTGAATAACTAACATATAGACAATTACACAAATGAATTCAAGCCTAGTAATACATGAGCAAGTTTTCTTCTAGTGCAATCTTAAACTCACCAGGTATGGCATCTGGAGAAAGTTTACCGGTGGCCAACATAATGTCCCGGAAATTGAGAGATGCATAATAGACCTTACAGAGCTGAACATTAGGATTAGTTGTGCGGAAATGGCGAAGTGGGGAGACAATCCAACGAAGGGATGAGAGATCTCCACGAGTCAATACATTTACATAGGCATATTCTGTCAGTTCCTGAGGTTGTGCTACAGAAAAGGAACAGTAAGACATTTATAGATATTAACCTAGGCACATACTTTCCAGAATGAGCAAGCTCCTTGAGCAGTTGCTATCTCCTCCCTTTGCTCTCCACACAACCTGCTCTTATCCTATAAGCCACCTGTACCCTAAATAGCTCATCCTTCCTTCCAGCATCAAACCATATTACTGTTCACTCTGAACTAGAGCAAAGAAATTCCAAATTATCCATCAAAAAACAAAATAACATTCCCATCAAAAACCCAACCTAACAAGAACAACGAAATCCAACAATACAATAGCTATGGTAACAATAGCTACTCCTATTCTGCACAGATTCCATTCTTCTAGGCCTTACAAACAATCCTGAAGTGAGTTACCTTGCTGCAATGCGAGATGCCTGAAGGACCCCCACTTTCCATCACGATACACATTCATCACCAGGTCTCTCTGAACAATCTTTTGCATCTCCAAGGAGGAAAAACTAGTGGGCGGGACAGCTGACGAAGGGTTCAAGTTGGAAACAAACACACACCTAGAAGCCAGAAGTTGTAATTTTGCTTGCTTTGCTATAGGCCAGAAAAGAAGCTAACAACAACAAAAACTTTTATTTCCTGTGTGACTCAGGGCACACTTTTTTACCTGATTCTGTGGCCTTCTGCTTCAAGGCGGAGACAGTTCACCATTCCTAGGATTCCTGAATTTCCACAACTGGTGGCAGTCAGCCACACAGGCTGCTCTGAGGAGTCGGCCAAGATCTCCTACAGGAGAAACCCCAAACTGTCTTACTAGGAATCACAGAAACTGCCCTTGCAACCTTAAGGAGAGGTGAATAACTTCCATTAGAAAAGAGAAGGAAAAGAAAGACAGTGGAGGAGAAGAACACACTAACCCCACACACTTCTTAAAATGCTGTTAAATATATTTAGAAAGTATAATGACTTGGAAATATCCAGAACACAGGAATTCTCACCTTCAAGGATTCCACCCACTTATAATGGGTCTCATCTACTGGTAGAAAAATAGGTGTTTTAGCAGGGGCTTGCCGACGACACAGGAAAATAACTGAGCCAAAGAAAGATCTCTTCATTGCGACCAGATTCAGTGAGACCTCACTGAATAAGCTCTCCCACTGTGCCTGTTAAATAAGGTAGAACGCCAATTAACAGCAAAGTCAAAAATCAATTAAAATCACAAGCCATGTCTATACGTAGCGTTGCATCTCCCTAAAGATGCAACTTCACCAGGAACAGTAGGCACTGTCCACCTCTTGCTTTGCTTGAAATCTTGGCATCAGCTTTGTCTCAGTATGAAGACATATTTGATTACTGTTACAGTATTTCATACGTATCCAGACTGTTTCTTCTTCCCCAAAAGATTCTCAAAATGCAGTAGTACAGATATCTCTGGCAACTCTGGAAGCCTTAGGTAGGAAACTTTCCACAGTATCAAGTGTGGAAAACAGAGAGTAATGACCATACTATCAGATCCCATGTAGGATTTGACTGCCTAAAAATTGAATTCCAGCACTTTGAATAAATCACACTTCTCTTCTGAAAAAGCAACATTGACTCAACATTCATCACTGAAGATTGTGAGCAACATGCCAAGACCAGACTGACTGCTGAGAAGGTATTCATCCTTCCAGAACATTTACCTGTGCCAGGAAGCTGTTTCTCTGCTGTAGGTCTGGACTTGTAAGGAAACTGACAATTTCTCCAAGAGTTTCTCCTTTAAGGAGGGTGTGTAGCAAAACAAACCCTCCTTCTTTCACTGCAGCTGCCAAATTAGAAAGAATTTCAGCAGTGTTCCCCAGAAAGTTTGTTGAACAGTTGTATACCAACAGGTCGGCATTGCTCAGATTTCCAGAGGGAAGATTAGATGGATCCCACTGGCTAAAAGAAACTCCAGCATCTTGTAGCTGCATTTCATTAGCAGAGATAGTTTCCAGGTTACAGTCAGTGGCAATATAGTCCACCTGCAACAGCGGCTGAGTGTTCAGAATATTTGTAACACGAGAGGAGAGATGTCCACTTCCTGCAAAAGCCTGTGAAGAAAGCAGCAAAGAAGCAAAAGGAGGAAGGAAAAAAAAAAAAAAAAAGCTGAAACATAGATAATATCCATATTTATAACTAGAGCAATAGAAGAATATGATCAGGTTACTGGAATGACTGGAAACACAATAAGTGGCCCCACGCTGGGTTTCCAGCTAACCTCCACTATCTTCATCCTGTGACTGGTCATGTTCTCCAATGCCACATCCAAGCAAGCCTTTAGCTCTGAAGAATCCAGCAAGCCGTTGAGAAGAGGGTCATCCTGGAGATGCATTTTCTCTTGAGTCACAATCTGTTCTAGTTCAGAATAGAGATTTCCATTCAGTTCCAGACGACAGATTTCAGCGAGGATATGCTGAAGGCCTTTCTGTATGGGTGAAGACTCTGCAGCAGCCCCTGTAGTTTCTAGTCCAGGGATGGCTAATTTGACCCCATGTACAGCCACCTTTGTCTGTAAGTTACGGATCAGATCTACAGAATGGAAGAAGTGAAGGGAAAAGTTAGATTCTCAAATGCTGGGGTTTTTTGTTTGTTTGTTTTCCTCTTTTTTCTTTTTATGGAGGAGAGTCCCCACCCTCATTTTTTCCCCACTTGCTGTAGTTGCTGACCAGCACCACAAATTATAGCATTCTGTAACATTATTGTAGCCACACAGATATAGTGCACACTTGTGTACGTTCTCAGAATTAGTGTTTTACACAGTAAATGCAGCCTCCAAACAAGCAGGCTTAAGGAACAGATTATGTAGCAAGACAATCTAATATAGCAGACCGGTATACCCGATGGTCAGGCCTAGATGAAAAGGCAACTAACAGAAAACCTCTGGATGATAAGAGCTTTAGGGAGGTGGAGGGGAGTAGAAAGTACAGTTTCTCTATATTAAAAAAAAAAATGCCCAAAGAGACCATCCCTGAAGATGCTCAAAACCTGGTGGGACATGATCCTGGGCAGCCTGCTCTAGCTCACCCTGCATGAGCAGGTAGGGGGTTGAGGCTGGAAGGGACCTCTGGATATCATTTGGTTCGATTACTCTGTGATTCTTTGTTAAATGGTTCATCCTGACAGTTCACAGGGAGAAATAAAACAACCAACTTGCATAGCTGACAGACAAACTAGGCTTTCCTATCAGTTTTTCAAGTAGCTGGGCTAGATTTCTCCTAGAACAGGTTGATTTATGCCTCTTCTCTTGCGCCAGTTGCGCCATCTGAAACACTCACTGTTACAGAAGGGCAGATGTGCCCACCAGGCAGCACTCTGCTTTACTCCTACCCACGTTCTAGAAGCACCACTGGCAGACATAGCTTTTAGCAGGCTATACAGACAAAAGATTCCCACTAAGGTCGGGTACAGAAACCAGTATTTGTTTCTTGAATGCAGTAAGGTCTTAGCCAGAAATATTTATCTCAGACATTTCTGGCAAGCTAGAAGATTTCACTAGTACAAAACCAAGCCAAGTCCATTCTACCTTTGCAGTGTTCCAGATAGGCACAAAGCTCGGTGCTAGAAGACAAACAGTTGCTCTCAAAATAGGGCAAAAAGCAGAATTTTTCCAAGGTGGGAGAGGCTCTTTCCTGTTGTCGTCGTGGTGCCACAGAAGCATGAAGACCATTAATCTGAACACCTCCTGCTTTGAGACTATCAAGGTGACGGTCAACAATGACATCAAAAGCTGCAAGACAAGAAGCAAACACAAGTTTGTATTAAGCACCAGAAGTATTGTATTCAAGATTAATTAACAGAACAGTGCTTTGTCAGCCCATGCTAAAGAGGGAGCTGCATAAAATCTTGGACTAGGGGGTACCCAAAGTCCACCCTATTTTTTTGTAAGTTGAACATTCATGCACACAGGACTCAAAAAAAAAAAATAGAAGCCAAGTGTGAAAGCCATATTACCTTCTGTATTATCCTGGTATTGGCGCACCAGCTCTTGATGCAGCACTGGGTCAATACACACTGATCGAATCCTAGTAGGTAAGCGCAGACTGCGCCCAGTCTCAGCTAAAATTATCATGTGCAGCAGAGTGTCTAGGAAAGTCACCCAGTTTCCATTCCACAGAACCTTCCCCGTGTTTGCTGAAAAGGAAAAGGCAGAGGAAATCTCAGTTTAGAGACTTCAAAGTCTTATTTTGAGACAATTTAGTCAGTCAACAGATGTGAAGTCACTGTTTGTCAACAGCAAAGCCTGTGGCACCCAGCTTCCCCTGTAAAATCCAATAATCAACTCTATGTGGGAGATAACTTTGCAGCTTTCACACTGCACTGTTGAGACACATGGTCATTCCCTGTTACAACAGTATAAGTACAACACCACTCCATAAAGCATAGATAGCAGGCCACTAATACGAATTCAACTAAAAGATCAAGTAACCATCATGATGACATCAACCAGGTTTATTGTTCTTCTATAGGATGCAAATTCACCTTCATTGTCACATTCCAGAAGGCCCTGGAAAGTTGATCCATAATTATATCCACGCAGATGCAGTTCTTGGTAAATATCGTCTTTGGAGAGGCCAGATTTTGAGTTCGTGTCTACTTTAATCTCAAGGTCAACTGACTGGTTATGGAAGTTATTCTGAGCAGTGTTTTCTAGGAGGGAGATCTTCCCTGATGGGCACAGTGAAAAGAATAATTGTCAGTGTCCACGAACAAAGAATTTTGGCAGATCAGGGTATACATTTCACTGACTTACCACTCACAGCCAGATTCCCATTCCCTGACACTTCAAAGCAGTGGGAAGCAGGCATGAGTCTCACTTCTAGCTGTGTTGATCCTGCAAGAAAGATTGAAGAGAGGTCTGAGAGGCCATTCACTGTCTTCTTTCTGTCACATCATCTCCAGACAGGGACTGCACACCATGGAATAGAGGTGCTACTTGATGCTACACGCTACCCAACTATATGAATTCAACTCTTCATTCAGTTAAGAAGTCGTACTCTTTTTTTTTCTCCTCTTACATTCTTACTTTCTCCGTGTTTCTTTTTCTTCCCACTCCCTTCATCAGACAGCTTTGAAATTGTACCAGTACCTCCTACTCACCCTTTTTGGGAAGGATAGTTGCCTGATGAATTGTGACATCTTCAAACATAACAGCAGTTTGCTCCATGCCCATGCCAAGAGACCGTGCCAGAGTTCGCCAAGCCAGCACTAAATACCCAGTTGCTGGATACAGGACTCTGCCATCAATGCAATGACCAACCAAGTAGTGGTCAGGAGACTCAGGACTCACATCTGTCAAAGAATAAAGAGCAGAATAAAAATTCCTGAAAAAGAGGCCTTTCCCCTTTGGTGTCTGTAAGAGGGTCTAGTGGCTTCCTCAACCATCCTGCCTGGCAGCATGCAGCTCTTAAAACTGCTGTCAGTCTGAATCAAGACAATTACCTGCTCAGTTCACATTATTATTGAACTCTCAGAGCAGACCCAGTCTTCTAGAGAAAATGTCTCAAGCTTCAAAGAATTGCTTCAGAGATGCTGCTTGGGGTTTCTTTCTCAAAGAATGTGTTACAAAAAATGTGGAAGCAAAGTTTGGGGAGGGAGAAATGAACAGGAACACATACCAATATTGTAGACTGAAGCCGACGAGGAGCCTTTGGAACCTGATGGAAAGTCTTCGGCTTTTGGAACATCCCAGTCCTGGTTGTGGTCCCATTTTATATATGGGGAAATAAGGGGGGTTCCCACTGGGACGGGGTATTCCACAAGTGGGAACAAGTTATTTCCAAGAACATTTATCCTATGAAGAGGAGGGAATTAAAAAAAAAAAAAAAAAGAGTTGTACTTAAGAGGTCAGACAGTAATAGTTCACAGGATTCCTGGAGAAGTCTCAACATGGAACCCAGGAATACTGCAGCCAAATTTGTAATTCCAACAATCCATGAGATTCAAAACTTATTTTTATGTGCTAATCCAGATTTCTAGGCCTGTGGAATGGGGGTCCTTCCCTTTGAAACGCACCTTCCCAGCCCAAGCAGCTTGTAACCCATAGCAATTTTTACAAAATTGCATAATCATGTAAAGCAAAGATGTAAATCCCATCCTTTTTCACATTTGATAAGGCAGTATCTCAAATCTTGTGAAGGCAAGCATGCTAGGAAAGAGAGCTGAATTCTCTCCCAATTGATAACCCAATCGCCCTTTTCCCTTAATCTCCTTACCCTGTCAAATGAATCTTGCCAGTCTGTGTTAGGAAGAACTCCAGGTTATTTTTGTGATCCCTCTTCATCAAAGGTAGAATAGTGCAAGTTGGTTTCAAAGTTCTCCTCAAGATAGCCTGATCAAGTAGAGTTTAGAAATCACTACTGGAAGACACCACTTTCTTCTTTGTCCCTGAATTTATTTCTTTACAGAAATATTTTTCTACATTTGCTTCTGTGTTAAGTGTTCTGTGCTAAACGCTAAAACGTGCACCGTTTTAAACAGGAAGCGAAAGAGTAGCAGAATAGCCACCTCCCAGCCACCAAAGCTACACTTCTTGTAAGACAGAATTCATGAAACTCTGCCAAATCACAAACCTCCTTTTCCCAAGCAGACTCTCAACTATAGTCAAAAACTGCACTTCAAGAACTGCAAAATCATCCTCTCTAGTCTCCCACTTTATAACATACACACAGAGCTTTGGCTCTTACTCCCAGGACCAGCCATTTTAAGTTTCAAGTGTCTTATAAGATTTTCCACACAATAGCTATTAAACCAAAAACCTTGCCTTGGGCATCTGCACTTTAATTTGGTGCTGCATCTTTAAATGGGAGAAGGATATGAGAGAGAGAGAGAGAGAGAGAGAGACCAGGAGACCCTCAATTAATTAATCCTCCTTAATTGTTTGCATTAGAGTCCAGAATTGTATGGCAATTTCAACACAAGGTACAAAAACAACAACAACAAACCACCAAAAAATCCCACAACACTTTTTCATTGTGGGGTGGAGGGAAGGAGGCAATCTGTGTAAAGAGCTCTGTTCTACTTTATTTCTCTGTCTGGAAGTCATTTTCAAAGTACAAATAACCCCACCATGACACACACATACTGGATTGGAACTCAGAAATATTATACAATCCTGAAACCTGATTCCCCAAAAAACTATGATTCTGCTTAGACTTTTCACCACTAGCTTGCCACACAGTAAACAAAGCACAAGCCTTTGAGCTTTTCAGGGACATCCATCCACAAGACCCATTGCATTGATCTTGTGGGAAAAGCACATCCTTGTGCACTGCAAAGAGACTTTAGTCCACATTATAGCCTCATAAGGGGACAAAAAAAGGTACTATACATACACTTGTACTCAAGAAGTAGGCTTCACAGTGTGCTTGCTAGGTGTGACCACCATTCATTATGCACATATCACCCTACACAATGTGGCTAAACACAGTTGTGTAAGAGCTGCAATCCACTCTGCCAGTTAGGCTTCTCAGACAAGGGCAGAGGCTTACAGTGTCGTCTAACTCTCAGGAAGTTCCCAAATATACACCTCTAGCCATAGTTTAGGAAAATCAAACATTTTTTAGTGGCATTCTGAAAAAGGTGAAGTGTACAAGACATTTTGTGAACATCTGAAGTTGTAAATGCTAAAGCATTTGGGAAGTTGATCAGAGCACCTATTGCCATACAAGTTTGTTTTTAGCTATAGTCACCTAATTAGTATCTTCTCCTATAATGTTGTTGATAAGTAGAGCAAAACTTTGCTTCAGCATAATGATAATGTGACGATCACATTTCCTGGAAGATGAGGGGGCAAGTATGAGGGAGAGGACCTGCTTTCACAAACATCGCCCTTCCCACACACCCTCACCTACCTGACTCCCCTTGGGAGTCAAAAGGGGCAGCCTAGACTTTTTTGCCACAATCATTTAGGCCAAAGTTTCCCCAGCCAAAAGACTTCTAAAAATTGACCTTAAGACCTCTAAAAATTAAGTAAAAATACTGTTCATTTTCAGCTTTTATTGAGGGAGAAAGGAAGAAATGGGGGGCGGACACCATATAATAATAATACAACTCTGAGAGTCTTAAAACTTAATGCAGCATAGCTAAAAGTATGCATATCAATATTAGCATAAGTTATTTTTATTTGGGAACAGAGACTCCAATCTTCCTTCCTTGAAGATTTGTATGATATACAGTGACTGAGTATTTGTAAGAGATACAACACTGCATGTTGTATTCTTTTAATTATATTAGTGTAGCATTCTGTTTCCTTTCTCACTAAACTGTTACGGCTGTGTCAGTCTGCTGATGGAACTTTTCAAATGAAGTGAGAGTTCAGTATTGACTGAACTAGCTTAAAATAAACAAATCACTCCTCCACTAAACCGAAGGCACTGAAGATAAAAGGAGATTTTCATCTAGAAGGACCGTTCTGTTATTCTTGTTCCTCCTCCTGCCCCAATGTCATTTATCCCCACTATATCCAAATAACTACTGAGGGCTGGAGGACGGAAGAAAAAGAGGCTTTTTGATCACCCATATTTCCTGTGTTGCATCCTTTGAAGTTTCCTATCAAAATAAGAACCTATGCCCAATCCTTTCAGCTAAGCGAGAACTGACAGCATTACAACTCAAGATATTAAGGCTTCACATTTTCATTCCTTGCTGCAGTCTTGGCAGATACACTATTTGATCCAAATGTTTAAGAGATTTTCCTACTCATTGCATAGCTCAGTAAGCTATCAGCTATCTGAAATGTATGGCAATGAATAAAGGCAGCTATGTAAATGGGTGGGTGGGGAAGTGATAATGTGCTAAAGTGGTAGTCTGTTGAGACACGTTTTGTGGGTTTCTTGTCTGTTTGTTTTTACATCTTAAATGTGAGAGAAACTTGAAAGCACTGGAGGGAGAAAGGATTCTCAGAACTAGGAAAGCAGTATTCCTAAATTCTCAGGCCTTTAGTCTCCTTCCTACAGTAGCATGCCAATATGCCACCTGTATAGTAGTCTACTGACATAACTGAACACAATACCTGCAGAAGAGCATGTGGAGCAATCTCCACTACAACAGCATTCTCTGGAACATGCTTCAGGCCTTCATGGAACAGCACTGGATTCACCAGGTTGTTCACATGATACTCAGCAGAGGAATTCCTAGCCAGATCACTCTGCCATTGAGATTCAGGGATAGATGTACTGATCCATCGTGCTGAACGAGGTTTAGGGTGTGGAATGACCTACAGACAGGTAAGATAGAGGAAGAGAAGGAGAATTACAGGTTATAGGTGACAATAAGACAGGCAAAAACCAGTCTACCCCTCCCTTCCTCCCATTCATGGGCCATTTTTTTCAGATTGATTGCTCAGGACATCTTTCTGCTTGAGGTCACAGGATGTTTAACCAATACAGAATCACAGAATGCTTAAGGTTGGAAGGGGTCTCCACAGATCATCTAGTCCAACTCCCTTGCTCCAGCAGGGACACCCAGAGCACGTGGCACTGGGTGGCATCCAGGCAGGTTTACATATCAGAGAGGTCTACATACTCTTCAATTTCCGTCCCTCCTAAAAAAAAAAAAAACTGGATTCCCCTTGAGCTCAACATCACCTATACTCAAAACACCAGATGTCCCAGAATAAGCCATGTGAGCAATGATCGAGTAATACTACCTTTTTGAGGGCACTGAGCAGCACTGGTGCAATAGATGCCATGTAATAGGAATGAAATGCAACCCCAGCACTGCGCACCTCCTTTGCAAACACACCATCCTTTTTCAGTTTGACTACAAACTCATTCACAGAGTCCTAAGAAGAGAAATAGAAAGGATATGGATGAATCAGAGTACCCCCCCCGAAGTGGGTCATCACGTGACACTTAGAGGGAGCCATACCCCATGATGCGATTATTGTCCTCCTGAGTTTTATCAAGTCCATGGCTGTAACATCACTCAGCATGAGAAATCTGTAATTACTAGCTCACTGGGGCACTAACATCACTTTCTTCCACAGCGTATTTGAATGGTTAAGTTCATAAAAAGCACCATGTCCCCCTGCCCCACCACTTCCCTTTGCAAGAAGCTAAGCCCTAACTTGGCTTAACATTTTCTCCAAACTGGAACTTTCAAAGTCCCAGTCACATTCTGGTATATACCACATTAGTTCTTTGCTCACCAGAGGCCCTGAAACAGTGACAGTATCTTCAGAATTGTGACAGGCTGGTACCACACCTGGAGGACAGCGATGCTTACATTCCTCCCACGTCAGACCTGCAGAAGAAAGATCACTGCACAACACAAGTCTTTCCAGTAATGAGCTGTGAGAATATGTGTGAAATCACACATACAGAATCTGGCTATCTATTCTATGGATATAAGTCACCGAAAAAACTTGAACCTCAAATCAGATTATGAAAAAACAAACAAACAAAAAAAACTATATGCAGCAGTCTGAGATATATTCTGTGATAAGTGTCATGTATGTAATATCAAGCAAAACAAAGTTGAATTAGGTAGTCCTTTGGAGCATTTGTTAAAATAAGATTACGAGTGACCTAGTCATCAAACCTACTGCATTAGTCCTGCAACAGCTTTTCTCTGACATGTTCCAGAACTTTTAAATGGCCACTGTACCAATAAGAAGCAGAAGAACAACTATGCAGCAAAAAATCATTTAGTTTTAAAAACATGAGACACATAAAGCCATACCAGACAAATGCTACACTGGGTCCATAGCTCAAAACGTCACCAAACAATGGCCAAAACTACATCCTTCACTTTCCCCAGAGACACAGAAACACTGAGCAAAGCTTGCATAAGGGGAGTTTCTTCTTAAGGAGCCAGTCCTATCATGAGGTTGGCAACCTCAAGCTATAATGGCAGTAAATTCCACAAGTCATTTACTCAATACAGAAAAACATCTTACTGGTTTCATGCCTCATTCTTCTGTACTTTAGAAATCTTTTTGTCTCTGTAATTCAAGAGGCAAACCCCCCAGTGCCTTAGCTTTTCATTTTTTTTTCCAAGTAGATTATTGGACTTTTGTCATTTGTCATCTGCCAATAAACCTCTCCATTTCCACTTAGTTTTGCATGGATGACCAAAATTCTACTGTATTCAAACTTGGAGGTTATTACAGATATATTAAGTTCAGTATTTTATATCCCATTCTACATCAGTTAAAAAAAAAAGGCAGCAGTAGCAAAATTTGTATAGACATGGCTGTGTCCACCAACATATTTCAGAGACCAGCTTTACCCTAACACTGTACAACAGAGAACAGGCACTTTCCTGTATCACCTACTTGGTAAGGATCTACTTCTAGCTACCTACCGACAGCAGCCATTCCTCCTGGTGGTAATTTGGCCTCTTTAACACACCGTCCTCGCCAATAAGCAGCAAGAATGGCTTCTTCATGACTTAAGGAGTTATCTGCATAGCCACAAGCTAGTTCTCCCACCGAGTGGCCCACAATCCCATCAGGTTGCAGACCTGCAGCCTTCAGCATGTCTATCTGGGCAATCTGCAGAGAAATGCAAGATTGGTGATTCCACTCCAGAATAAACAGGTGACAAGCCTCAAAGTGTTTGTTACACAGCAGCATGAGTATATTACAAAATGGCTATTCTGTACAGACATTCTTCTTGGCCTCACTGCAGTTTTCTTCGTAAGTACAAGTTCCAGTCTCATTTCAAAGCAATTTCAAGAATCACTATGTGATTCTAGAATTGCTTGAGCCTCTCCATTACCTAGGTTTCCACTGAAAGTTATTTCCAATAATAAGATGTTGCAGAAGAACATGTCTGTAGAGCGTAGGGTCAAAGGCAGCTTTCCAAGTCACTTGGAAACTGAATCTTAGTGGTAAGCACTGAATCCCACACTGACATTCATCCAGAATTAAAAAGACTTTATTTAAAATCACTAAGTTCATTTTCTGTATTTTACTTTCTAAAACTTCTTCTGAAGTATTCTATAGAACCTTGTTTGTTGATACAAACATACAAAACTTCAGGCATTCCTCAGTCACTTAAAGGCAGAAGCTGCCCACATACATGCATGTGCACAGATCAGTTTAGGTCAACACTCCACCAAGCATCTTCAAAACAACAGGACCCAAAACTACCAAGAATGCATCACACTCTACTATCAAAGCAGATTTCTAACAGATTGCTGTCATCTGCTTGATTACACAAACTTACTGATGAGTATAATCCATACAATGTTTCACCAGCCAGACACATTAGCCTACTCATATTGGATCTAGACTAGAAAACAGTCCATGCTCCCCTTTCCCAGTCACTCAGTCTTACCTGAATAGCAGCTAGTCCAACAAATGCATGGACTGTGTCATCAAAAGTGTTCTCATCTGCATGCAGAAGCAAGTCTGAGACCTTCAGCCCTGTGCCCTTCAAAGCCTCATCTGAACGCAGTATAGACTGGCGAAACAGATCCAGCTTCATCAGGCTCAGGCCCATACCTTTCCACTGTGTTCCCATGCCTGTAGAATAAGCAAGGGGAATGTGAATTTTGGTAAGGGTCAATAAAAGGGAAAGACATCACATACTTGCTCTGGCAGTGGAAGAATTGTATCTATGAGCAAAATATGGCACCTTTCACATTTAGTAAAGGGCTGCATGATAGTACCTTATGCTAGAAAGTCTCTAGCACAAGAAAGAATGCTAAACAGAGCACAGGATGCACTAACTCAAACCCCAGACCCACAGAAGAATGCAGAAGCCTGGACCCACTGCTGTAGCGTTACCTGAGCAGATGTACCAAAGTGGTCTAACAGATGCTTGAACTTGCTGGACCTCTTTTACTTCAGTCTCACTGCCAACTATTGTGTAGCCTCTGTAAGGCATGGAAGACACAGGAATCGCAGAGATATCACTAAGAAGACTTAGAAATGGGCTGCATCCTCCATGCTTTCTGCTCTCTTGAATAAGTACTTCCACAGCTTCCTGTGTTCTGCCACAGATCTGGACCAGTCGTGGCAATGTACAAGTCTCCAGAGGCTGGTGTTTCTTCTCATTTGGCCTCAGAATGACATGAGCATTAGAACCTCCAAAGCCAAAAGAATTGATACTGACAAGGCCACCTTTCACTGGTATTGGTTCACAAACCACCTGCAAAGAGCCATCTTGTAAGGCAGGAATATCCGGATTTGGGGTATTGAAATGAAGGTTTGGAGCCCACAGCCCGTGTTCCAGAGAGAGAACAACCTGAAAAAGAAAGAGTAGTCTTTTTTTGGGTAATGATTATATAGCATACACTTAAGCACCATGGCTTTTATACAGGTTTGAGCATACAGTACAGTGGGTATACACCAGATCGACCAAGAGGCTTTGTCTTGGCTATACAATAATTGATTAGGCCAAGTAGTTCAAAAATGCAAATAAACAATTCTCTCCCACACCACTTACCAGTTAAGTAAACAGACCTTGGTAAGTACTATTTTTTTGCTTATCTGTTTATATATATATATATAAATGTATTTTCAAATCTGAAATCCACTGATCCACTTTCCTAACCGACATCTCACATATAAAAGTATTTTATGGAATCACAAAAGAAAATATTTACGATAACTTCAGACTGCCTGATACAGTAGGTGTTTTTGAGACTTTTTGGCTTGGTATATTTTCTGGTTTGGTTTCAAGGATCCCTTATCTGCTATTCTGATTAACTTCCAGATGTTAAAATATCAAGTGGTGCCCAACTGCTAGAGGATCAAAGGGATCAAGCCAAAGTTTCCCACATCCTTCCAAACAAAGATTCAAGTGCTTTCAAAATACCAGATTTGGGAATCAAGCCTAGTGCAATTTAAGAAAAGCACAGGAAGAGATACTTTTGCAGTCATGATGGGTGTTAGGGGCAGATATATAAGAACCTACAGCTGGATGTAAAGTTAAGTGAGAAAAAACTCATCAGAGTGTGTATCACTTTGTGTATCACTCACAAAGAGAGTGAGAAAACAAATATCAAAGAGGGCTACAAAAAGAGAAAGAGAGAGAGAGAGACGGAGGGAGAAACCCTTTCCTTTTCAGTTTTGCTCCCTTTCTAAAACACAATGAGGCTAAGAAAGAGCTAAGAAAGAGTCCTGACATGACAGCAGAACTGCACTAGGCTTACTTACAACCTACAATATAGTAACTCTGAGGAAGTATATTTTATGAGTCAGTTGTTGTTTCTTCTACTGAAGAAGGTATCAGCCTGGATTATATAAATTAAAGGTACATTTTCCTCTAAAAAAAACGGTCAGTTCAGTTCCCAAGCTTTATTCAAGCTTACTCCCAGAGAGTCGTACGTGTTCAGGTCATAGTAACCACTTTAAAGAGCCTAAAGTACTAGCAGTGACAATGGACATTGCTTCAATCTGCATGGCTCTTGAGTTTGCTGTAATAGGCTTACAACCAAGCGTGAACATTAGCTAGATCTCTGCTAAGCAGTTTAGGAGCCAAGACTGACAGACAATTGTCTGTGTACAGCAGTAGTTAGTAGGCCAGCTGGTTGCTAAGACAACCAGCTATTCAAGCTGGTAGTGTGACATCCTGAAGGACTCACCTGGCTTCTTGCCAGCACGAGAGACAGCTAGAAGAGAAGGACATCCCTAACAAACAGCTAAAAGGATCAATTCCTTTGGCACAGAGAACCACCCAAACTGCCTCATTGGTCAACGTCAGCTACCCAAAATATTTAAATTATTTTGCCTGTAGCTCCTCCAAATCCATGTGACTTATAATGCAGTTCTGCTGGAAGTTCTGGTGTAAGAACAATCAATAAGGTGATCACAAAGCCTTTCTTCTGAGCACAGTTTGAGCTCTTGCAGAATTCATTAGGAGGATTTTTAGAAAGCATGTGTATATTAACACACCCTGTCCAATGGTCACCTGAGCACTCATGCCCAGCTGACAGCACAACCACGTGCACTTTTAAAAGTATTTGCATATGAAGCAAGAAGTAATGAAATAAGTGAGAATCATCGGAATTAATCATAAGCTTACATCTTTTCCTAGCTGAAGGTAAACTTTCCTAAAAGCCAACATTTTTCTCCTCAAGCAATGAATTACCTTCGCTAATGCTGCAAGGCCAGATGCAGGTTCTGGATGACCCATGTTTGACTTGGTTGAACCAATCAACAGTGGCTCTCTCTCGCACTGACAGAAGACATTTACAATGCCATTTACTTCCTGTGGATCACCAACCTAGTAAGAAAACAATCAAAATGACAGTCAGCTACCACTTCCAAAATGCACAGCAGAAGACACAGATCTAAAAAACTAAGATGCCTGGGTAAAATCCAGAAGTGGTGAAGCAGTACACATTCCAGTAACTGGGAAATACAGTTCCTTCATGTTTATTTTGAAACAAGGAATAATTTGAAGAAAGTGTGAAAAGGTGTGCAGGGTAAGAAATCAGGCAAAAAAAAAAAAAAAAAAAAAAGGGAAAAAAAGCAGAGCAGGCCATGCTGACCTTGGTACCTGTCCCATGAGCTTCAACATACTCCACTTCTTCTGGCTTGATACCACATTCTCTGTACAAAGAGCTGACCAACTGCTGCTGCATCTCTCCAGATGGGAAGGTCACACCTAAGAACAAAATTCCTACTAATTCCTCTCTTCCACAGAGGCTTTTTGGTCTGGTTTTAGTGTCTTTTTATCCCTTCAACTGGTTAGGGCTATTAAGTATATTAAAAAAAAAAAAAAAAAAAAGGAAGAGGATCCAGAAATGGAGCTAGTATGGAGCAGAAATTGAACTACTATGCGAAGATATCGGTTAACAGGATATGAGAAGCTATCCAGGCCAAGCAGATCATGTGAACCTCTTGAGTGTCCATGACTGGAAAGTGGGAGAAATGAGAGAGCAGCAGGGAAAGTCTTCATGTAATAAAAACACCTACAGGTCTACCGTCAGTATGAAGTTATTACAAAGGTATCCTGAAGAAGTCACAACTAGTAACACAGACATTCCACTTGCCTCCTTGAACTCCTTTACAAATTAAAGGCCTGAACTCTGTACTACTGAAAGAAGGAAAAAAACAAAAACAAAAAAACCCTCCAGCTTAGAGAAAGTGAACTCCATAATAGCCATACGCCTTTGTTTGTGATGACCAAGACTCAAGACTGCACACACCTGTCCTATCTCACTTCTCTGATGCTCAAGACCTACCTTGCTCCTTAAAACCATCAGTGTTAGTCCCAGCATTGACGATTGTGGCATAGATCCGTTTAGCCATGGATTTCTTGGTCAAAAGAACAGCAACAGCAGCTTCGGAACGACAGTATCCATTTCCTGGGGACAGAGAGCCAAGAACAAGTCCCTAACCTGAAGGGTTTTTCTTAAGTAGCAAAGCGCCATACAGTACAGTCAGCTCATTCCTAAGCACTGTTCAAAACTGATTTCTTTGAGAAGAATAAGCATTTGTTTTAAAGATGCATGCCCGAAAAATGCTGTATGCCTATCACAAATGATGAATTACAGTTTCTTTCAAGATATCTCATTATTTCCTCTCCTCAATGGTACTGAAATGAGCTACACAGTTTATTCACCATAGTTAATTCTCCAGGTTCAATTAAGTATGCAATATAGATAAGAGACAGGGTATGTCTCAGATAAAGTACCTAATAACAGCTATGACACCAGCCAGCTGCTGTTTTACAGGAGTATCACGTCACAGCCTCAGCAATAAGACTCAAACAACACAGCAATATTCAGTGCTAATGCCTTACCTGAAGCATCAAAGGCCTTACAGGCACCATCAGGACTAAGCATACCAAGTTTCATGAACTGCACAGAAGTGTTGGGTTTTAGCAGAAGGTTAACACCCCCTACCAGGGCCGCACTGCATTGTCCATGACGAATCGCCTTGTAAGCATTTTCCAGCGCAATGAGACTAGAGGAGCAGGCCGTGTCAATAGTTATGCTTGGTCCTTAGGAAACAGGAAGGGCAGGCAGGGTAAAACAAAAACACATGCTAATTAACAAAAGCTTTCTTTTTATTGTTCATTTTCTGGAGTTGCTTGCTGAAGACTACCAGATTGAGGGAAATGTATCCAAAGACAGCTAAGTAAAAATTGCTACAAGACATCAAAGGCAATCCTGATGACACTTGTATCCCAGTGTGATTGAGGGAAATGTATCCAAAGACAGCCAAGTGAAAATTGCTACAGAACATTAAAGGCAATCCTGACACACTGGGATACAAGTATCATCATCCTTGCCTCAACAACTTGGTTTTAGGGGTACCTTTTTGCATTACATGTACCAATCTCTATTGAAAAAAGAAATTGTATTATGGCAGGCCTCATCTATTTCTGTTCTCATCAGTAAAATACCTTCTTCTTTCTGGTGCTAACTTTGCCATGATTGCAATCCCCAGCTGCTCTGCATAGGAATTCCCATCTCCCTACTTTACATCCAAGGAGTAAGACACTTTCTAGTCATGTCTATGCCTTCAATATACATTTTGTCACTGCCCTCAGTTCTTTCACTTTACTCAAGCAGAAACAAACAAAGAAAATGCCACCTTTTTCTTTTACATTTCTTTCCTTCTAGTCAGTTCACCTCTAGGCAAATTTCTCCATGACTGGATATCAAGTAACAGTTTAAAATAAGTTCAAAGTAAAATCCGGACCCTTTTTCAGACAGCATTCTGCCATCATCTTCATCTTCCTTCAGAAGAAGGCCAGCTATACCCACCAGCAGCAACTTGCAATGAACCTCACACTTAAAAAAAAATTTTTTTGCTTCCTACTTTCCTCCTTACAATCACTACATGCTCCTTTCTTCTCCTAGAATGGTCTGTGTCATCATATCCATCCCGCCTCCCTGCAGAAGCTGCAGTACAACCATGCCCAAATTGCATTTACTCATCAGCATTGACAGGTTTCGGGACACTTACCCATTAAGTCAAAGAAGTAGGAAATCCTGTTGGCAAACATAGCACGCTGGCAGCCAGTCATGCTGTACCCCAAAAGCTCTTCTGGATCCTGGCTAAAAGCTTCAGCAGCTTCTGACCCACTTGCACCAATCCACACACCTGTGTCTGTGCCACGAAGGCTGCCTGGATTAATACCTATGGGAATATTGGAAGGTAGATTATAGCAGACAAATTCATGATGAAGGGCAAACTGAGGAAATATCAGCTACCTTCTGGTACTGGATCATGAAATACAGCTTCTTACTGTTTCTTCCTGGCAGGCCCATAGCATTTTTCCCTTACCAATAGTTCACTTTCCACTTCCTTCAACTACAGGCCTTATAAATCTTACATCAGAGTCCCTCAGAACTTTGGCATTGTTTTCTTCATGAGAACATACTGCCCTGGGACAGCTTTTCAGCTTAGTTGGATATTGCTGAAATCTTGTATAGAAGTGGCATGCATTACACAAAATACAAGTGCTGATCAGACAAGCTAACGACTGACTTCCAGCGTTGGGAAAACTGGCAGACAGAAGGGAAGAAAAATTATGAGCACAACAATATCTACCTATCCACACCAGAGGCCTCTGAAGTACTAGGATTGTTAAGCACAAAAGCCAACAAACTGGAATAAGAAACAATTCTGCTCGGAAAGGCTGCATGGCAACTTTGACTTCTGGCAGTCTCTACTCTTTCTTTTCTGTGCTGCAGCAGTCCTGGACACAAGCAGACTATTCAGGCCTTTGACACTCGCTGCTTGGCTGTTGAGCTTCAGTCCAATTTTTCAATACTGGCTGTTGGTTGTTTCCAACTTTGTCCTCATGATTCTCATGCAGATGTGAAGCTGATTAGGAACAAAATTTGGCTCTATGGGTGAGTAATTTGAAAGCTCAGGATACTGGCGGTGATGGATAAAGGAGGCTCCAGTTTCTGAAAGCACATCCCCTAGGTAAACTTTTTATGGTAGTAGCTCAAATGCCACATATTTTCAATGAAGCTGGCCAATGCACAGGAAGTCACCAGGGCACCTGCCATTCTTTTTAAGCCCTGAAGAGAATTCTATTTCGAGTCCTCTTCCACTTCAACTGCAATTATACCTTCTGTCTTAGCAGTCAGATCTATTTTGGAATATTATGACAGAGCATGAGGACAGGGACACCAATGTACAAAAGGTCTTCCACTGGTAGCTGTTTAACTATTTCTGCAGTACTGGTTGTCCTCTACGAGATAGATTTGCTGACAATCAGCACAAAAATCCTAGTTCAAACGCTAGAGAACACAGGCGTGTTGTAACTCTTATTAGTTCTTTGGTCTCCTCTCTACTGTGATAGCTTTCTCATGCTAGAACTCTCATCACACTGATGAACATCTGCACTTGATACACAAACGTAATACAGCAAAACTCTCCCCCTTCAGTCAATCAGCTGCTTACCTCCATCCAAAATAGCTTCATAAGAAACTTCTAATAGCAAACGAAGTTGAGGATCCATTGTATTAGCCTGTTTTGGGTGAACCCCAAAAAAAGATGCATCAAATTTGCTTATGTCCTTGAGCTTTCCATTTCTCTTGGGCAGTCCATAAATTCCTGAGAAGAAAATTCAACACTGTGTCACAGATTACATGTTCTGGGAAGCACCTAGCAGCTTGGGCTGGGGAGGGAGAGGGCAGGGGGAGGAGGAGAGCGAGTGAGGGCAGCATGACCACAGCTGATTCTTTAATACACTGAAACCTCATTTCCATACTGCAGCACACCCAGAGGGCTATGGGAACATCGAGCATCCCATCTCCATAGATCCCATATGGGAATTACAGAGCGATGTTAACAAAATGGATTATGATTAGTTACTTTCCAGGATATGTCAGCAAAAATGCATCTTTTTGCCTGTAAGTATATGTGCTTGATATAACTTGCCAAAGCACAGACTCAGACTGAATCGGTGGTTCCAAACAGCCACCAATTAAAAGAAAAACAAAAGCTACTTTTCACTTTCGAAAATTAAGAGCTTTGAATTAGACAGTCACAGGCCAAATATTTCAAAGGGACAATCAAACAGAAAAGAACATTGTAAAAAAGCCATAAATCATGGAACCGCAGTCTCTCTGCTACTTCTGGAACTCTTTAAAACTGTCAGAGAAGTTATTATCACGGCTGGCAATAAGCAGGTCCAAGATTCAGAATGCTTTTGTGTTAAATCTGCACTGTTAAGCGTATTACTCTTTTTTTTCTCCTATAAATAAGCTATATAGAACTTATTATTAAATGGATTACAAAACACTTTTATAGAAATGTCTGTTCCTGGTGCCTGTATCAGAAGTGATTTTAGAAGTTTGATCATGGTTTCTCTATTTGATAAAACCTTTCACTTCACAGGATAGTTCACCTGAAAAGCTCAAAAGTCAAGGCTCCAAAAGGAGTGACAGCTGGCTCACCTGGTTTCCACCTCCGATCATCCTCTGTGACCATATCGACTCCATTAAGTAGGTTCTCCCAGAACTCTTGCAAGTTCTCCGATTCCGGCAATTTTCCTGCTATGCCTGCAATCACCACGTCCTCCATCTCTTAACTTCTCCGTGCTGCCAAGATCCAGAAAGCAGTGGGATTAGCAAGCTTTCACATGGAGTAGGAGACTACATGTGTCTCCAGCCTTCCCAACATGTTATGACAAACAAGTGTGTCTGCAGGAGAAACACCCACTCGGGAACAGCCCATGGAGCCTCTAGTACAAAAAGACATCCTACCTGAACAAATTAGCAGCAAGATTTGTGTGGACTATGGACAAAATAACACTGTGGAATGCTAGGCTCAAACCGCCATGCTCTATAATGACAACTAGAGAATCAACAGGTCTACCTTTGCCAGATGAAGGGCCTCTGTGAAGCCTGCTCAGAAGAAAGATTAACATGCTGGAGGAAACGTGGGTGGGGAAATTAAGAAATACATATAGTAAAATATATAATTACAAGGCAAACCTAACAGGCAGCAAAACAAGTTCTACGATCATTCCAAAGTTAAATACTAACTTCAGAATAAAGAATCAGAGATTTTTTTTCTAAACGAAGTGCAGAGATGGTGTACATTTTTGCATCATTCTATATACCTGAAGAAAAAAAAAAAAGTTTTCTATGTAAGGTGTTACCCAAAACATAGAAATGGCAGTTACAGAAGCAGAGATGGGCAATTGAGCCCATGAGCAGGAGGTGTTGCTTTAAAACACAAGTCACGAGTGTTCCACCCAGGGTGAGGGGGGCAGGGAGGGGAAGGAAATATTGTCTTGGTTTCATGTGTGGGATTTTAACAATAAAAAAGTCACAGTGAAAAATAGCTATTTAAGTAGCTTGAAGGCTATCCTAATGACTTTGAAGACTGTTACATACTACCTAAAGTTTAATCTCTAATAGAGACTGTGTACCATAGTTGTTGTCAGGCCCTTAGCAGAACTACTCCTGTGCCCAACCATCTTTCCAGCACAAAGCAGCACCAGTGGGTAATCTCAGAAGATTCTCTGCATAATAGTTTTCCCAACGCAACAAATTTCACCTAGCAATAGAATCAATATTGCTCGCCTTATAGTTCTGCATCCTCCTCCTCCAGAAATTCTTGATGCTTTTGAGCAAGAAATAGGCCTTTCTTCCATCCATACATTACACAGGCATAGCATCTTCCCATGACTGAAAGAGCTGGGGCATGGCTGTGTGCGTGTGTGTAGGAGAAGCAAAGACCTTTAGTTTGCAAGGTTTTTGCTAAGGTGTAGCCCAGACAACACACCAAACCACAGACCTTGCCTGATTTCTTTTCCCTTTCTTGCTTTCAGTACTTATCTTTACTTAGATCTGTGGAGTAACTGCAGAATTATGCAATGTGTAATACTCAGAAGAGATGATTACCTCATCCAATCCATTCCTTCTGGGAGCAAAAATGGAATTGTTACCAAAAGGATATCTTAGATTTCTCAGCCTCCCTCGTATTGAATATTTCAGGCAACAGAATCGCAGAATTGCAGAATGGTTAAGGTTGGAAGGGACCTCTGCAGGTTACCCTGTCCAAGTCCCCTCCTCAAATAGAGTCACCTGGAACAAGTTGCCCAGGGCCCTCTCCAGAAGGCTTTGAGCTATTTCACAACCTCTCTGGGTAACCTGCTCCAGTGCACTCTGTCCCTTCACTCAGATCACTAATGAAAAAAATCAAATACTGGACCCCTGGGAGATACTGCTAGCTACAGGCCTCCAGCTGGACTTTGTGCCACTGACCACAACCCTCTGAGCTCTGCTCTTCAGCTGTTTCTCAGTCCCCCTCACTGCTCATCTTGCCTGTACATCATCAGCTTGCTCATGAGGATGCTATGGGAGACAGTAGCAAGAGCCTTCCTGAGTCAAGGGAGACAACAGCCATTGCTCTCCCCTCATCTACCCAGCCAGTCGGTCCAACAGAGAGGGCTATCAGGTTGATTAAGTGTGATTTCCCCTTGGAGAATCCATCCAGAACCTCCTCTGAGGTAAAATTCTATTCCACTCTGATTACTCTTTTAGTTGGGAAAGTAGCATTGTTACTGGTTTTAGACAGCAAGCACTTAGGGACTTTACTTAGAAACTATACCCCAAAAGGGCAGTAGGTAGTAACTGGTCCTATCTACTCCCCTCCAAGGAGTTTTTTTGTTTTGTTTTGTTTTTAATTCTCAAGTCTAGCAGGCCAGTTCTGTTGTTGGCATCACCACTATACCTAGAAGACCTGACCAGGAACTGCAGCTCTGCCATTATTGCAGCAGTTCTGCATAGAAAAGTGGAACTTATCAGAAAAGCAATCTCTGCCAACATGTTATGAATGTAGTTGAGCAAGACTGTGTCAAAGGCACAGAAGAAAATGCTACAGTAATCAAATCGTAGAAGAAAGAGGCCCAAAATTAATTTTAGACAGGAGAATGGGTAAGAAGAGCTGCAATCTAAGGGCTTTTATACAAAAAGAACTTGAAGGATTTGGACTTCATACAAAGAGTCTCTGAAGTCAGAGATAACATCCAAAGCATGGACTGATGTGACAGACATAGTGTAGAATTACTGTAGAAAATTCAAGCAGGGAAAACAAAACAAAACAAAACATAAGTTCTAAGTCATCCCCAAATAATCAACAATTAAAGAAGACATTATAGCAATCAATGTCATTTTCAGTCTTTCTTGGCAGATAGAAAGCAAGTAGACTGTTTTCAATTTCATTGACGTTACTTCAAAAAGGTGTTATTGTATTGTGTCACTATATTAGAGACTCACTTTTCTTAGGTTTTACAGGATGTATTGACAATTTGTCACACAGCACAGATCAGGAAAGACAATGATTTCTGCTGCTCTATTACAGACTGGACTACAGCAAATATGCAAAAGAAGTTTCCAATACATTGGATGAACATGGTGAACAAAAGCATATGGCCAAAAGAAAGGAAACAAGAAAAGGTAAAAAGGGATAAACAGGATTCTCACATTTCTTAAAGCTGTATTCTGCTGGATACAACTAGACACTTAACATTCTTTCCCTTTGTTTAGCCTAAGATTTTGCTTAGATTTACACAACATTTTTTGCAATGATATTGCATTGCTGACTCATTCAGTTTGTCACTTGTAATAACCAACAATCCCTGATGGTATTATTGACTAGTAACCCCTTTCATCACTTTATACTTGTGCTCTGGTTATCTGCCTCCCACATTAACCACTTGACAAGGTTGTTTTTTTTATTGATATCAGTTCATTTCTTCAACTATTTTATACCTTATTAATCATGTCCTCTATGTATGTGCTACCTGTCAGTTTCATGCAAGTCCAGTGCTATTATCAAGCTTACTTTTAAGTTGAAATATTGTTCTTTACCGCATTTAAGCATTTAAGACATTCATCAGTACCTCAATTATCCAGTGCAAAAAGGGTAATAAAAAAGTATTGCTTTGCACCATGCCCACCAACTATACTGTTTTAACCACCTCCCCCCCAAAAAACAAAAACCTTTTGT